AGTTAATCAAAAACAAGACCTCTACAATAGCCATTGATGTGCCATTTGCCACGGTACTTTTGAGTGCTGCCTCCCGGAATTAGTAAAGCAAGGTGTTGAAGAAATCAGCAAGGTAATTTCTGGCGGGAAGAGGGGTGAGGTACAGGGAAGTTGTACTCGCTGGCTGTTTTCTTGAGCAGTTGCTATTTCAAGGTGAAGGTACAGTCCTGTGGAGTAACTTAGAGGCTATATAGGGACATGGTATTGTGGACTAGCCAATTTCCCTCAAAACGCGGCGAGATGTCACTTACAATAAGAGATCGGGAGCTCATTGGGAGAAAAGAGATTTGGAGATCTTTAGGATGGTTCTCTCGCGTTGCTGCAGCCATCTTCGGCACTTAGTTTCACGATACATTCGTAATTCTTGTCTGCATATAGCAAAGCGGTTATCAAAACAGTCAATCCAACAAATGATGGTCCAGGGTGTGAGGTAGCCATCAGGCATGCCAGGAAAAGATTAATCTTTACAGCTCGTATCGCTGTCACTGCGACTGAAACACTAGCTCGTTCATTTGAGAACAGAACATTCGTTTTGTTTCATCCTCAAATGAGGGACGTTGTTGTCGTTGAACTAATCAACAGCTAGTTGATCATCGCCTTCGAGATTTGACCTTCCGAAACCTCCTGGTTGACTCTGATGCATCCATGGACATACCAACAGTTCGCAGTAACACGAAATTGACTTGAAGAGATTTGAACAAAAATCGGACAGGAATCGAGAGACAACACAGTATATTATTTCATATTATCACTATAAATAATATATACATAGATATTTGTACTAAATACCTGTGATTCCCTGGTACCTTCTTTGCCAGAATCGTAGAATTCCGCCTCGTGTTCAATGTGCGAGTCCGTGACTGCAAAAGGTTCCCGAACCTGAAGCAACATAGATAAACAACGCATGATGACCGAAAGAAACGCTATATTCTGCAACAGGAAAAAAAAACCAATCAGTGCGAGTCATAAACACTCCGCTTGAAAGCCTCATGTAATTTTGATACCATTAAAAGTAGGTAAATTTTGCAAATGCTGCCAGGGAAAAAGACACCACCCAAAACTCTGCGAGAAAATATAACTTACATCTGGGTTCGAATGATCAAGCAGCAATGACTTATCCGGCATATGCAGAGAGTCTGGTGGAATCGGCTGCATCTGCACGGATGGTGCATACGGCAACTCACGAAGATTTTCAAACAGTCGCACCTAAGAGGAGAACAATATTATGATTTTATTCGAATTCTGGTAAACTCACGACTAACCATCGTCTTCTCCAAATAATCTCTGGTGTTTTGGTTGGTCATGTTTGATTTTTCTATATGGAGCTTGAATCTGGTCCAAAATACTCAAAGTAGTCATTGTTAGGGCAGTTCTAAAACAAACTTCTCATGACGGTTTATTTCACTAGCCAAAATACTCATTTTAAATAAAACTGACCATTAGCGATCTCAGCCTCAACAGCCACAGAAGTTTCGTAAGTCCAGCAACGAGATACATTGCGGATTGTATATCCTCCAACCACCAACCATCATCAAAGGAACACCAAATTTTTTCAGAAATGCAACACATTTACCGTGCCCTGGAATTTCTCCTTGTTATTATGAATTCGACAACTTCAAATATTCAGTTCAATTTGTCTTTCACATCTACCAGGTGTAGCTATTGGGCACCTATAGTATCAGCCGCAATTCGATTTTAATCCAGAATATACGCATCTAAATTCGTATGTTCGTAAAACAAAAAAAAAACTTGGGGAAAGGAGAGAGGGCAGGGGCGGAGCCATATCGTCGAGTCAACACACCCTAGAGACAAGTATAGCATCAGTTCAGGTACCTAGGAAGGAAAAAGCCTCGGTGAAATCGGTGAATTAGAATTCCTGATCGATGGCATCGTGAAGAATGGTTGTGAAACAAAAACTCTTGGAAACTACATGATCTATCTTGGTTATGAGCCGATGGAGGGACTATATTGGATAATCCAACTTCAGAAGACACGTGGCGGGCGGCCGTCACTAGACAGCAAAATGCAGTGACAGAAAAAAATCGGTCATCTTCGCGAAAGCGAATTATCTGTCTGCAGTTCGACTGCCTTTGTTGTTTCTCCTTCAATTTTTTCAAAAACTCTGCAATCTCCAACCCGCCCACAAATCAACTTTGCTCTCGAAGCAATCTCAGTGCCTCGCCAACTCTAGAGAAAGCTAAGGAATACTATTCTTAATTTTTGATACTATTTAAACAATCACGAAGAATCGCATAAAGAAAAATCACCTCTTAAAGTCAGGTTGAAACATCCAAGTCGATCGCCTGTGAGTGAATCTGCGCCACATTGCAGAACTATGGCTGACGGTTGGAAGCATTCCATAACTTTGCGTATTACGGGGTGTGAAGATGCTCTGGAATAAGAAAGGTATTCAATATCCTCCATAACAGAACAAACAAATAAAAACAGTATCTAACCTCATATGTTTCATCATCAATGCCGTCACGTAAAGGAAAGTTGAGTGCGTAATATTTTCCTTTCTCTGCTCCGATGTCCTTAAATATTTCATCCTAATTCGAAACTCAGTGTAAATACCGACTAGCTCCATAACAACAAAACATGTACCAAGCGAAGCGCGAACTGCGATAAGTGATCGAAAAAATTTTGGGGGAAAAAAAGTTCTTATATAACATCAATAACGTTATGCGACGTTTCCACTTTTTCGTAGGGAATAGTAAGCCTGGACAGTTCTAGAGAGAACAATACACTTGGTCGACACACAATAGTAAAAGTCTACTATGGTGACCCTTAAACCTTGACGACCGTGTGATCCCACGCTGTGCCACACATTGATAATGGAGGGGGAACCTATTTTTCGTGAGCTGCTTGGCGTGTTTTCATGTTCTGAAGCGGTCTTTATAAATTATCGGATTCGAAAACAATGTGTTACATTATCGATAGAGTCACTGAGTAGTTAACAGCTATGGAGGAGAAAAATATGAAAAAATGAACCGTCTATGTGCTAAAATTGATTAGGCAAACAGGCTGTACAACTCAGGGACCCTTGCTAATGTTTCCCGTTCTCAATTTAACCTTACATTTCACTTACCCGAGCCACTCAATAAAATTTGGTGCATCTCCTTAGGAGAGAGAATGAAATATGAACCTTAAGATCACCGGTTCCAGGAAAGTATTCTCCATATTTGTGGAACGACACAGTCATGACTCTATCTGTGGTGTAGAAGGCCTCCTCCACTCCATCACCATGATGAATATCAATATCGACGTAGAGAACACGCTGAAACCACACTGATTAAGCTTTCTGAACTTACCTTGAAATGTTAGGCAAGCAGCCCTTATGCTATTCTCATCAAAGAAATATGTTAAATATTATACTTCAAACTTGGCCATCAGCACTTTGTGGGTGAGGTCGAGTAGCCTACACGTATTACAATTTGCCGTCTCAAAGCTCGAAGGTGCGTAACAATGGCGTTAGGGCTTTTAAAAGAGATCTGTGGCGACTAGTGTTTGCAGACGAGATACCTCGTGCATACTCCACGACACCCCACGTGGATTCCGGTGTAGCAGCTAATAAATACGCGATTAGTGGAGCCATGGAGCAAGCAAGTTCGTACAACTCGTACGGCTCCATACCTCCCTATTTCAAGAAGGAAGAGAGGGAAACCTGTGATGCTACATCGGTGATTTGCTGCGGCTCTTTTCTAATTTTCAGTCGGTTCGCCATCCACGATTTCATTATCGGTCGCTGCTACCCCACTAAATTTGCCTGTGATTGTTGCCTCAAGGTTTATGTGACACATGGTATGGGCGAAGTCACTTGCTACCTTCAACAATTCAGTGAATAAGGCCTTTAAACTCTGAACAACGAGGCTCGCAGTTACTGAATGCATTCAGATCAGAACAGTCACCGAGTTCCAGAAAAATTGCCGTCACTTTATTTGGAAAGAAAAGATTGATCGAAAATTGCGTGAGTTCCTCAAAGGCAAAATGCACCATCTCATGGGTCATCTAGAAATAATATCCGTGGTTTCATATTAATGAGGCTCCTTATAAGAGCATTCCCCCGTCTGAAGCACGGAATTAGCATTTCAACATAGTAGACAAAACGCCGACCGCCAAAACACGAGCCTTTTTGCTATAACAGTGGCCAACATGTTTTAAGCACTACCTCGCACAGCGCAAAGCACAAAGCACGACTAGGATAAGCAAGCACACGTTGGAAAGGATTATAGAAATGGGTGTTGAAACAGTGGCCGTTACCGGTGCTGTAAATTTCGGGTATCGAACTTGAATCCGGACTAGTTCCACAGTTACGCGGTAGCCGTGGGGCCATTGCTGGTTTCCATTGCATAATAGATACTTCATGAGGCAGGCCAACGTGAATTTATTGAACGAAACCAACTTGATGATGTTTGAGTAACTCCAATATGGCCAATACGATGTCGTTGCTGTAACAAAATCCGCTAGCTTCACTCTTCTTCGCATGATGAAGACCACCCATCCAATTAATGGCAATATCTGCATGCTTGCGGTTAAGCTTTGTTGCAGCAGCTGGAAAAGAAAATTATTTCAAAAGAAAAACCACCTGCCGCAGTGATGGAGTGTCAAATAAAATTCTCACCTAGCGATCCTCCACAAGATAGCTGACAGAATTCAAAAACCCCATCGAAGACAGGACAGTCCTTAAATATGTAATAGAAGACTGACTCCAAAGCATGTAAACAAAAAGGTGGAGACTATACCTCCCCAACATTGAAGCGCTGCATTTGTTTCGTATAATCAGAAATGTTGTCCGGCCGAATGTTTTTAAGGAACATCATGTAGTCATCAGAGTGGTACTTGGTCATCTCTTCAAACGTGGCCGGTGTTGGTCTCTAAACAAAAATGATACAGACTAACCATAGATGTTCGGGCATAGTAATGAGAAATACTCACGTAAACTTCAAGCTTCCGGTAGAGCCCATAATTGAGCAATAAGTTGTGAGTCATACGTATACGATGGGGCTTCATGGGATGCCCCTGCCCATAGTAATAATTCCCTATGTCACCTGAAATGCCAGCCTGTGAGGAAGTGTAGACATGCCACGCTATCTGATAGTGCATGTCTGTTTTCACCCTATTTACTATGCTACCTGTCTGTCTGTCACGAGATTTGGCATAATATGAAGACCTAGAAAGGCCGGATCACGTTTGGGCAGGGTGGGACATTAGCCAAGAAGTAGGAAACACACATGGTCAAGCGGAACCCCGTCTAGGCTTGGCAGGCATGCGCCAAACTGGGAGATGTTAACGGTGAAAGTTTTTAATAAGGTTCCAGAAGAACCAAGACGCCAAAAAAGGTAAAAAGGTGCACAGGAAGGTTAGTTCAAATTTGAGAAAACTTCCGCGATGGTTTAAGCGCCCTCTAGACGGGTGATGCTTACTGGATGAATCATAACTCGTTTATAAGGCGGCATGGAAAGCAGAAAAAATTGGAGTTGAGCAATGTCCTGAGGTGTAGGCGCATTTGAAGTGAAGGGTGATTTGCCCACAGCGGGCGGAGCGTGTCCTTGAATGGACGGAGTTTCCCCCTGAACACCGAGCGAGGTTCCTCATGGACTTCATCGCCCCCGAGACAGCCTAGAGACCGGGAGAAAAGTGGATCAAGTCTGGAAAAAGAAAACTCAAACGCTATTTAGGCGAGGCGTTAACCCAAATGAGCTTTGATTACAACGCTATAAAAAGGCTCAAAAAGCGACCCATGGAGCGAGGTAAAATCGGCAGAGTTAGCGAAGGAAAATGCTGATGAGGGCGACGGCTAAGTTTCAACCCCCTCCCTTACCGCCTAGGAACCCTGTTTGGTGCACAATAGCGTGCGGCGCTCATTCGGTTAATGGTATCAATACCCTACACACAAAGAGAAATGCCCTGGAGGTAATTTGGAGTACACAATTTTTAAATCTTCTCTCACTGTGTTGGCAAACCTTTCACAAACCGACGTTCTCTACGTGCACTTGAGTCTATGCACTTATGCATTTTTGACTTGTATGATTTAGAT